TTATGCCGGTCCTTCTGGCCGGCTGTTAATATAACTTAGGCGACCATTATTTTAGGTCGCCTTTTCGCCAAAATGTTTAGAATTTGTTTCGTTTCGAATTTGTTTCGACTTTGCTATGTATCGAAACTCTGACATCCAATTGCATACTATACCGACTGTTTTGCATGGCCGATAGTTGCGGACAGGTACAAGGTAGTTAGTCACGCCACCTATGCCCCTGGACGACTGGTTGTCTGTTTCCAGGCTAAGCGATCAGTCGACCACTTTAAAGACTGGATCCCCTTCAACCAAGTAGGAAGATGGTTTCCTACCTTCCTTGTTTGTTGTTGTTGTTTTTTTTTTTTTTTTTTTTAGGCTAGAGACTCTAGTCGGTCCAGGCCGACTGTTCCCCGCCACATTTAATCTAGTGTGAACAGGCGCTGTATGAACACCTTTTTAGTTTCATACTAAATTTTTAAGGAGTGACCAAGTAAACATGATTGTTACCTAGTCGTCGAGTGACTGAGTAGTAGAGGTTTCAAGCGGTGGGTACCGGTTGTTCCCCTTTATTCGCCAATGTTTGTTGGCTATTAACTCATAAGATACCGACTATTCTTATCCCAAGTAGTTCAGTCGGTTGGTTGACACGGATGGTTACTGCGAACACTTGTTTGACCTGATTAGTCAGTTAAGTGAGAGGTATCCTTGTCCGGGAAACGGCTACAAGATAGAAGAAGAGCTCTCTAACAAGAACTATCTGATTTCCCTAACAGGAACTTGAAAACATCAAGTTAAAGTGTTGACTTGGTCTGTGTTGAAGACAGCAAGTTCTATTGGAACTTGGCCTGCAAAATTCCAGTTCAGAACTAGAGTGCAAGTGACAGTAGGAACTTAGTCCTGAACTGCGTGAAGCCCAAGCATCCTAGTTTACAAAATATTGGTGAAGCAAATTAGTATTGTTAAAATTTAATCTTTTAGATTTGCTGTAAATATGATTGCTAGGGTTACGCATGAAACTTAATAGAAACGTGACAAAAGAGCTTGGAAAGCTTCATAAAATAAGTTTAAAAAGATAAGTTTATAAGAAAAGATTTTCTAAATGATTTACTTCTTAAAAACTGATTATCAAAAAGATTTTATTCTTTTTATAATTTAACTCTGATAAGTTTTTTACAAGATTTTCTTTAAATAGATTTACTTAAAAACCGTGTTTTGGGATTTTGGTAATTTAACATATTTATCTTTTGAAAACCTACTTTATATACAAGCAAGTCTTGTATAAATTGTAAAAATCCCACTTTATTATTTTTCTGTTAGTTTATGCGTGAAGAAATCAAAGTGTGCTTTATTGTGTAAGTTTGTCAAGTCCATCACTTTGTCATATTAGTTTCGGGTTTCATGCGTAGCTTGCCTCTAATATTTTAAGGGTCTATATTTTGTATTGGTTAGGTTCTTGGGGGGGGGGGTGTGTAATTTATCTTTGCATACAATGTTGTAGGCTTCTAGGTTGAAGTTGAGTGTGTAGTGCTCGGGGAGTACGAGTGAATCTAAGTTAGAGACTTAAGATGAGTAGGATAAGGTCCTACTGTGTAGCAAGTTCAGTGGAACTTGTGAATAAAGGTCTCATTATACTAGGTTGTAATTTGTGTGTTTACCCTATTATAGTGAATTGGTTTGGCTTTGGAAATCCCGTAGAAGGGTCGAGGTTAAAAAATGGGCTAGGCCGGACCTATGCAAAAAATCTTGTGTCCATATTCGCAAAAAAAGTGTAGAGCTTAATGTGCCATAGACGTTTTTAGGCTTTGTTGAGCCGCACTTAAGTTTTGAACTAAAAATGTGTTTTTAACCTTACCCAAACCCACTCTTTTTTAGGCTGGGCCAGATCGTGCCATAGATGATCACTTCTTAATTAAATATGGTGTAATTGTCTTTGTGAGGGTTTCTTTAAAAAAAAAAGGCTATAAAAATGATTCCATTAGCTAATGCATTTTTATAAAGAGATTTGGCTCAGGATTTTGTAATAGCTGTCGAGTTTGTTATAAATTTTTATATTTCAATTATTTTAGGAATCTAAACGTCTTAATTTATAGATTTTGGGTAAAGGTTGTCTTATTTTTAACAATTATTCCCTCCCAAATATAAATTTAGACGATTCTTACAAGTTCTTAAATGATTACTCCATACATTTTATCACAACTATAGATCACAAAATTCAGCCAAAAACAGAGTTTGTGCTTAGTGTCATAAGTTAAAATATGTCAGCCAAAATTTAACAAAGGAAGTAAAATTAGGAAAATGAATGAACTTAAAGTGTATTCTATTCACCTGATTTTTACTTATAAGATCTTATCTAAACTTATTACACCTTATTAAAACTTATTTTATTTGTAATTTGAACTTGAGAAACCCTTATCAAAACTTATTTTTTTTATCTTATTAATCCTGAAATAAATAAAAATAAGGTGGGCGGATGATTAATTCATTTAAAAGGTATTATAATAGAAAATAGTGGATTTGGTGAGTAACAGAAGATTATTTAACATAGAAAAAACGAGGAAGCTTCACTTAATCTTCATGATAAACAAAAATCGTTTATTTAGTGGCATTTTGGTAAATAAAATCAACAAAAACACTCTATCAATATGACATTTTCGTAAATAAATTAAAATTTGTGACTTGTTAGATCTGATTTAATAAAGTAGTTGGCTTATTAACAAAAATACCACTAGATAAATATTTTTTTGTTTATCATGATGATAAACTTGTATTTTCTAAAAAAAAAAAAAAAAAAAAAAAAAAAAAAAAATCACATCCACTTTAATAGTATAGATAATTAGTTCTGCAAGTTCAAATACATTGAATTACATTTAAGAAAATGAAGGTATTAGTAACTATGTGATTTTATTTTTTTGGATATTTAGAGAGCCATAAGGATGTGTGATGAAAGATCGGATCCAAAATCCTCTGAAGTGAAAAGGAAGCTTTAACCAGCTAGGGTATCTCTCACTTGCAGAATTCTTTTTTTTTTCTTTACAACAATGCGTATCTATTGAACTATCGCACATCAAGGTGAAGAGAATAAAGTGGATAAAAACACATAAATCATAATTACTACTCCATCCGTCCCTTTTTTTTTCCATAACCAAAATCTGCTTTATCAAGCTTAGTTGAAGGAAAAGCAAGAAGTTAGGCCTTGCCTAGCTTTAATACTTTTGTCCACAACATTTACACTTATTGATCTTCTCTCTCCACCCATAAACCCTCTCCCCCCAATAGTCCCCACCACCAACCCAAATAGTGACCACTAACCAACACACGAAAGTAACAAGCACAAGACCATAACCACTAGGGATGTTACAATGCAGGCATATGTTGTATTTCCCATTCCCATCCCCGCCTAACATTCTCATCCCCATCCCCATCCTTGTCGCAAGTCTAAGATTCATCCCTATCCCCGCAGTAACAAGTACCATTCCAAAACCATCCATGCCCCACCACACACTTGGATATCCATCCCTACCTAACTCCCATACCAAAAACAATAATACTACATTATATAGATTACAAAAAAAATATTAATGTACACTTTTTTTTTAATAAAAGTTATTACAATGTATTATATATATATATATATATATATATATATATATATATATATATATATATATATATATATATATATATATATTTTACCTTATTTACATAATTCTTTATAATATACAATAACATAGATGTATACAATTTTAGTTTTCTAATATTCCGTATGTAGATGTGGGTATGGGGCTAGTACGAAGTGGGGTGGGACGGGTACAACCTAAAATCCACCCCCGCCCCACCACCCGCCAAACCAGGAGCCATCCCCGCCCCCGGGGTGGGGATCCTACTTACCTGCCCCACTGATGTCCCTAATCACCACCACGTCCCTTCACCCACCTACCAATTAGCACCACCACCTATCTTCCTCTAGCATACCCACCAATTGCTACCACCACTTACCTTTATTCACTACACCTACCAACTCGAGTCCACCTACCTACCCCTAGTCTGCCACCACCACAATCACCTACCTTCCTCTACCACCCATTCATTAATCGCCATCACCACATCCCTTCCTCCACAATGCCTAAGGATGTCAATGGAGCAGGTCAAATAGGAGACCTACTCGTGGGCGGGGATGGTAGTGATGGTGGTTGGGATTTGTTAAGTGGAAAGAGAAGTTTCGACAGCAGTGGTAGTTCAGGTTTTGTCGAGGGTCGAGGGTAGGAGAGAAACTAAGGCAAAGGTAGGTGGTGGGTGACGGTGGTTCGAGTTTTGCAAGGAGGGTAGAGGGGAGAGAATTTCGATTTCTTGAGGAGAGCAAAATATGTGCTTCCATGGACTATGGAAGTTTAAGGGGAAAGGGAGGAGAGAGAATGGGTTAATGAATTAAGGTACTATGGAAGGAGAATGGAGAGGAGGAAAGGGGAGAGAGTGGAAAAAGGGTCAAAATTAGGTAGTAAGTGGGTTATATAAATCAAAGAAGAAAACAAACTTAATTATTGGCAAACAATGCCAAAAATAGACATGGGAATTAAACAACAAGCAAACATAATTAATTAATTAGTGGCAAACAATGCCTATAATAGACATGGGGCAACATAAGGGACATCCATCTTTGGCAAATGGGGCAAAAATAAAAGGATTGAGGAGGAGAGAATGGAGAGGAGGAGAGGGGAGAGAGTGGAAAAGGGTCAAAATTAGGTAGTAAGTGGGTTATATAAATTAAACAAGAAGAAAACAAACTTAATTATTGGCAAACAATGCCAAAAATAGACATGGGAATTAAACAACAAGCAAACATAATTAATTAATTAGTGGCAAACAATGCCTATAATAGACATGGGGCAACATAAGGGACATCCATCTTTGGCAAATGGGGCAAAAATAAAAGGATTGAGGGAGTAATTATTAAATTAACCATCAAAACCATTGTTAACCACCCCTTAATCTTATAAAAATACTCAAATAATACTTGAGTGTGCTAAAGGGGAAAAAAAGAGCATAATATATACATTAATTTCATCCCAATCCACTTGGTACCAAAAGCAATCTAAGTAATATAAGCAATAGTTGTTTAGCCTTGATGCAAACATTTTAGTTCCTATAAAACAGTTCATAAGCAAAGTGGGTTGTTTAGCCTTGATGCAAACATTATAGTTCTTAAAAAACAGTTCATAAGCAAAGTGAAGAGATTACTTATACATTGCAAAAGCATTTGTTTTACGCTAATAACAAAGAAAATTATTCAAGTGATTCATTGGAGGTTCCGAATATAATACTTGGGAACGCCCCTCCAAAGACGTCCCCACTTCAAATACTACCGTCCCTGTTCAAATCTCACCTACCCCATACAAAGCTCACTACTGCCATTTTCCGTGCAACATAGCTAGGAAGTGAACATAATACAAGTACGACAGTACGGGCATTCTCCGCAAGTTTGAAGCCATGGATACAAGCATGAACTATGAAATCTATGTCCGCAAGGTAAATTAATGAGCTTGTTACCTTCCACAAAGCTCTCCAGACAAATACTGCAATCAGTTGATGCTTTGGACATTGGTTGAGTTACAGGCTTTTGTTGCTCCAAAAAAACATCATGTTGCAACTGGGAGAGGGCTTCTTTGGTGAGTCCTAGAGGTTTCCTTTGTGGTTCCCTTAGTGCAGACGGCTGATGTGCTCCCACAGGTAACTCAGGTGAATTTCTATATGCAGCTGGCTCTTCTCTTGAAACATCCGTTTCCCATTCTGCACCAATTACAAGCTGATGATTGCTGGGAAGACTAGGAGATGTTTCTCTGTTGTCTCTACATAAAAGGATGAACTTAGTAAACAGTAACAATGGAAAAGGTACGACATTAAGAAAATTTCTTTCAAAGGAAATGTCAACTCTTAAGCACTGACCTGTTTCCAGAAACAGATACACCTCTCAATCTTTGAACAAGCCTTTCTTTAGCAAGCAAAACAGACCCAGGAAGCATGGTGTTTCGATGATATCTTCCACTCAGACCATGCACGGTTTCTCTGTCATTGATTTCCCGTGAAGAACAGTCGCCATTACAACCTTGTTGGTGTGATTCGCTCCCCTGTGTATGCACCAAATGTGACAGACAATTGCACAAGAGATGAGTTTATTTACAATGATGTCATTAAATAGAAAACATCCCTTTCTCATACGACAGAAAAGAATACTCGAAAACTACATAGCTGCTAGCCTGCTAGCATTGCAAAATGTGCAGGAAGAAAGTGGAATGTGAGATATTTAAACTTAAATAGAGTATAATATAGGTTTTAAGGTATTGCTAAAAATTAAAACGAAATAGACATAATAATTAAAACTAAATTTTTGCTAGAAAAATCATAACTAACCTTATTTTACTTATCTATCAAATTAATTAACCAACCCATGTATTGTTAAAAGTATCTTGAAAAAATATAAACAACATTAAGATTTGTTACAAAAGAATGAAAAACAGATGAGGTAAATGTTTTTTTTTTTTGTTTTTTTTTTTAAATAAAAAAACTAAAAGAAATAATTAAAGAGAACCAACTAATACCTTCTTAAAATTTAGGGAATAATATATAAAAAAATAAAAAAATTTAAAAAAAGAAGGGAAATTGAAGGGATTTAAGAGGGGAAAAAATAGTAATAAGGATTTTTTTTTTCCCCGGGTAATAGACTAATAGTAATAGATAGTTATAGTAATAGATGTGTGAATTCATAATGTTAGTTATTGGTGTAATTTTTGCATTAAACATGGATGACAACTAGAGAACACAGAGCATGATGGAATTGGTGAAACAACTATGTAATGATGTGTTAAAGATGAAGTCAACAACTACGAATAATAGTGTTGAAACATCAATTAGACCTCTCAATCAACTTCTTAAACATGAAGAAGAAATCAAATTGGTTGATCTTCTTAAAGTTAATGGTGACCTTGATCTAAAAACTAATATGGATTAGTCAGAAGTATGATAAGGTGTTTCATCATAAAGGCATAAGTGAAGTGACGACAAATGCTTTACCTATGTTGCTCTTAATCTTTCTACATATGTTTCCTTGGTGGTATGATATTGTAAGGTTTTGACGATTATGAACAAATGATGATTATTTAATTAACTTGTGTGTTAGAGATGTGCATGAACAAGTCACGAAAGCATGAAAAATATTGAGTATGATAAACATCATTGTTTATGATTGTTCCCAATAATGAAGAGAACATGTCTAATTGCACAAATGTATTGTTGAGTTCTTTAACAAGATGAGTGGGAACATTGAGAATGTTGTTCCTAGAGGAACAAACAAAGAGAAGTTTTGAGAGAAACAACGGAGCACATGAGGACCTATTAGTAGAAGTATATTTTTTTAGGAAGCCTTTAATTATGTTGAACAAGAGAATTTGTTTTAAACAAGCTTAAAATCAATATCAAAACTTCAGGTATTAACGACCACTTCGTTTTTAGGAGGAACAAGAGCACACGAGACTCCATATCACTAGAATTCAGTTTTCCAAGTTATTTGTCATTACATTATATTTGCCTACTTTCTAGAGTATAATATTATCCTAATAGATTTAATTTTTAAAATATAATATTATAATAAGATCTGTTTTTCTTCAATTTAACAAGATTAACTTATTATCCTAGATTTTAGGGATTTAGAGTTGACTTACAATACATTTGATATTATCTTATAAAAAACAAGTTTACAAAATAAAATCTGATTTTATTTTAGCCAAAAGCGTGTGAAAAAAGAACTTCAAAGTCGTTACCTTAAAGCAGGACCTTAGTTGAGATTTTGTTTGTAAGGAATGAAATGAGCTTGGTTTAAAAATGCAGTTAAAATCAAAAAAATTTATATATTTAAATTGACATGCTAGAAAATCTGTTTTAAAACTCTCATCTTTAAGAACAAGGACTTGGTCTTTGAGAAACTTGTGGCTAATCATTATAAATCGTGCTGATTAGTTGTTGGCAACTAAATGACCTATTATTGTTGCTAAGAATCAAGTTAGTTCGCTATTCGTAGGCCTGAAGATGCAAATGCCTCTTGATCACGAGGAATATGGGCTAGTTAGTGCGTTTTCTAATCTTCTATAGATAGAACGTTTTAATTCATTTCAAATTGTATGGCTTAAGCAAGTCATCGCAAAGAATCTAATTTTATCACTCCAATATGAAGTGGAATAGTTGTAAAAAGAAATATATTTCCACTTCATGTTTTTGAGTCAGTTCCTTCGGATTCCAAGTTCCTTACGTGTTTGTTAGTGTGCACTATATTAGTTTTATAGAAGTATTATTTATCAAATATATGTATTTGAGAGTTGTTCAAGGCTTTCGGTTAACTCTTTGTAATGAAGAAAATGTAAGGGTTTAAGTTCCTTATGTGTATGAAAGATATGAGTAAAGCTTGAGAGAGAGAAAGACTATGGCTTCCGTTAAAAGAGAGAGATTTGAGGGAAGTCTTAGAGATGCAAAGCTTGCTAAGTGCTAACTATTAGAGGGAATAGTTATTAGGATCATGATTCAATAAAGGCACAAGTTTCGTGAAAAAATTGATGGCCTTACTCGAAAATTTGAGTCAAAATCCCTTCGAGTCCAAGTTTTTCACTTTCTATTAGGCTTACGAAGTTTTCCTCAAAATCTTTCTTGCAGATTTTCTGTACTTGCAAGAGTGACTAGCAAATTCAATAGTACAATTTACCCCCTTCCCCCTCTTGTAGAGTTTCATCTAAATTACATATGAGAACATGCAAGCTTAGAGAAAGCAAGATAAAAGTAAAATATTAATTCTAGGGTTGTTCTTAAATTGAAATTGAGAAATGATATGTGCCTAGAAGTTACAAAAAGGTGCTTTATCATAGGCTCAATTCGGTGCAGCAAGGCAATGGTTCAATTGAAGAGTACATCAAAGAATTTAAAAGGTTGCAAGAACAACCCTGAAAGTTAATGGCGTGTGTTACTCAATTGTTACTCTGTTAGGCTGTCTTAAACTAGTAAAGGGCCAATTACAAATGTAAAGCCAACTAAATAATCTCTCAGTGACTAATATAAAGTGATTCAAGGAGAATCGACACCCAACTATAATAAACAAGCTTTACTTATTTCTAGCCAAAATACCATTAGGCCAACTTATGTGATGTGAGTTAAACTATAAAAGTAAAACTATATATTATACCTGTTTTATTGGCAACTAATTTTAAGATTGGGGTCCGTGAAAAATATTGTGCTCTATTCTATCAGGATGTTTGCATAGCCCAATTGCCTTGTCACCCATCATACTAAAAAATGTGTAATGGAAACAGTTAACTGGCTTCATTTCTAAGAATATGATGCCGAATATGAAAAAATATGTTACTCCGTAATCACCAACAACTACATGTTCCAAGATTTTTGAAGAATGAAGAGAAAGGCTGAGAAACCATAACATAAATTTGATCTTGTTTAATTGCGGTAACTAAATTTAGGAGTCGATTCATTTACCAATTTAGAAAGAGAACGTGACACTATACGAAGTAAAGGAACTTGGAAGAGACTACAAAGCTAAACTAAGAGTTGAATGAGGATAAACCTTACGCAAATTGAGGCCACTCTTTTTCACAACTAATGTTTAAATTGCAGTGTAGCTATATACTACAATGACCAACTGTCTTTAAACTACATTACTTACCAAAAGTCTCGTAAAAATCCTTAAATTAAACAGTGAACATCTCATGCCATAATGATCTAAGCAACGCGGAAAGTGTTGTCTGATATAGTCATCATGCTAAATGAGTTGCCAGCCTAGTTTATGCTTTTTGGAAAGCCTCCCCTGAAAATAATAAATGATTTCTTGATCCATTATCTTATTCTTCCTATTAAGGATAGTAAATATAGAAGAATGCATTTGAGCAATTGGATTACGCAGTCCAAAAATCCATTTTTCCAACTCCCCAAATGACATCAACCAGAAAAATTGGATTCATCTCCAATGGATCACTCTTTCTAAATTAGTAATAATGTTCACAAAATAGAATTATAAAACATAAATTCTCATAAAAACACCTAGTCATCATAGGGTATTTTATGTACTTCAATGTTGTCACAAGTAATTTCAACCATTTACCTTTGACTTATTATTATCCCAATCACAGTACTACTATTCCTAGTCTCAAAATAAAGCTCAACTAACAAACAAAGACACAACCTAAGCTCCATTTTGAAAAGTCACCCATAATTATAGTTTCCAAAATTTGTGTCAATCAAACTTTTCATTTCACCTCAAATGTCCACGGTATGCTCGGGAGTCAGGACACTTTAACACCTTATTTTGTGCTGAATCACGGATTTTTAATTTTCACAAATTACCCGAGTCGGACACTTAATACACCTATGAGTACAGAGTACCAGAGTTTAACTAACATAGCCTAAAATACGCAACCAATTAACCGCTACCCAACTGCATTTTTTTTTTCAAACCCAATTGTTAATTGATATAACATACCCACGACCTGAAAAAGCAGGTACTCATAACAAATATTCCAACTATTGCAAATAATACGAGTCTACAAATTAATTCCACTTAGGTAACTAATTCAATCAAATCGAACCCCAATCAATAACAAAACAAAAAAAAATTGACAAAAAAGGGTAAAATTGAAAATAAAAGATAGAATTACCGGAATAGGAGAGCGAGGGGAATGATCATCAAAATTGACATGACGGTGACGACGATGAAGATCACCAACCTTACGATGATGATGGTGGTGATGACGGTGACGATGATTGGCAGTGACGGTAGTGTTGGTGTGATCGGAAGAAGTAGAAGAAGATGAAGATGAAGCGGAAAAAGGAGAAGGAAGAAGAGGAGAACCAAAGCCTAAATCATCGAAGGTTCGAGAAGAAGATCGAGACCTTCTGCCGTAAAATAGCACTGCTGCGCTAGTCATATGCAAGAGGAGGAGAGAGAAGGAGAAACAGAGAAAGAAATAATTTGTAGGAGAGAGAAAGAAATCGAAAGAGAAAGAGAGATAATTTGGACAGGAATGGATGAGGGTAGGTGTACGGATGGATTTCGAGTGGATTATTTATTTTAATATTAGTAAAATTGTTTTATGGATTGGATTTTTTGGATAATACGGTGTAATGAGTAATAATAAAGAAAAGAAAGAAAAACGGTTTTGTTTCTCTAATGGTCAAATTGTTTCTTTCATTGTACTTTGAAATAGAAACAGTCAACAAAATCAATGGTTTTTTAAACCAACAAATCTTGTACTACGGAGTACTCAGTTTTATTATAACTAGGGATTCTCATATCGCTAACCCTTTAAGGAAAATTATTATTGGTGGTCTATATGCCTTATGCATATTCACATAGTATATATTTTGTTATATCTATTTGCATAGTAATTTTTAAGTACTTATTTATAAGAATAATTAAATAAATTAAACAAGTCATCATATAATCACATATTTTGTAAAAAATGGAGAGTGTAAAATATGGAGAGTCTAAACTCTAAAAAATGCTTTAAATATTGAAATAAACACAAATAATTAATCAATTTTGGTGATTCAAAAGACAATTTTAAGGCTTTTGAATTCAAAGCGGGTAAATATATAAAAGAACATTTTTAGGGATATAAATGTCCATGCACTATTCATAAGAGTATTTTTCTCACTTTTTATAAGGTAGGGAAGACAATTAAATTAAGAGTAGCTTTTTTTATTTTTGTAATGATTTTAATTTTTTTAAAGATAATTGTAATGAGTTTATATTATAATACGAGTATGTAATTTGTAATAGATAAATGTTATAAAATATAGAAAAATTTGCAAATTGCAACCATTTAAAATTAGTATTTTGCAAAAAAAAAAATACAAATAACACCAAAAAAAAGTATATTGCAAATTGCAGTCATTTAAAAAAATACAAATAGTAGGCCAAAGTTCTTATAAATATAAACTGCACCTTTGTTCAATTTTTTCGATAATTTTTTCATTGGTTTACGTGTCGAAAAATATTCGATTAAGGTTTTAGGTGTCATTTTAGCCCTATAAGATCCGAATTGAGCTCGAAATTAGCAAAAGATAACGTAAGTGCCTCGTTTCAACAGCAAAAAATAGTTGCCCAGAAATTGATAATTTTTTACACAAAACGAGGAACTTGTTTCGGGGTTTTCTGATGTCCTGCGGGAGAGTTACAATTCTGAGACTGGAACCAGACGCCTGTACCTGCAAAACAAACGGATGCTCCGGACGATTGGAGATCCGCCTCCGACGGTCAAGTTAGTACTTGATTAAGGAGTAATTAATGCGGAAATAAAAGTAATTGGGTCTCTCTAGGTGAGAGTGTTAAATGTGCGTAATATCCCTTAATGAGGATTAATGGGCATATTTATATGCCTTGGGATGCGTGCCAGTACTAGGTTTAGGTTAAACCTAAGGCTGACTGGGCCTCCCACAATGATTGGGCCTTGTTGGCCGGTTTTCCCATTTGGCATGGGTGGACACGTGTTTGCAATTGGTCCAAGGAGGACGAATCTCTTGATGACACGTGGCAGGCTCCTATTGGCCTACATGAAGGACACGTGGCGAAACCTGGCTGGCCCACGTGTCGGATGCTGATTGGTGGATAAAAATCCCTTAATCATTTGCCCCTCACAAGTGGCACGTGACTGGTCACGTGTTACCTGTGACAGGTGTCGCACCGTGACAGGCGACGGCCTGCTACAGGTGTCACTCGGTGAAAGGCCGAGAGATTCTCCCGCCCAAATTTTGAATTTTGGAAGTGACCCTTCGCCTTCTCACTTTGCCTATATAAGGGTGTGTTGACTTCAGTCATTTTCACACTTGAGAACTTTTTAGAGAGAACATTCGGACCCCTGAACTTGCTCTGACATTCCGGACTTTTTCTGCCTACCGCCTGCTCTGACAAGCCGGCTACTCAGGATTTTCAGAACTCCGTCAACTTCACTCGTTCATGTAACCGTCGGTTCTCTTACTCTTAATTTTCTCTTTATTTTATTCTTTTTTGAAATGGCACCACGGAAGCACACGACACGACCTAGGTTAGTGATCAGCCAGTCACCGGGGACGGCTGAATCTAGGACTAGGAGTGTCGCCTGCCCTTTTCCGGACCCATCTTTTCCCTTTATACAAAGTCCGACTGTCTCTGTGTCTATGTAGAACATGATGGCCAGAACAAAAAGAACTGCTAGGATCTCGAACTCAGACGGCTCCTCCCACAGGGTGCCGATTAGTGAAACATCTGACCAGGCGCCAGATGTGGAAGTGAACCAAGGCGGCTTGACAGCCGACAGTTCTGAGGGAGGGGTCAAGGTGACCCCTTCCCATTTTACAATTGACATGTCTACATTCTCTCCTACTCCTTTTGAAGGAGATAAGGCGGGCCCCTCTGGGAGAGGGGAGGAGTCGTCTTCTTCGGACTCGTTAGAGGACGAATCCGAGTCTAGTTCTTCTGGTCATGCTTCTCTAGACACGGAAGAGAAAAACAACCACCTACAAGAGGCGAGGCTTTCTCACGCAGTTGAGAAGGGGGACAATTGGGCGGAGCCATCCGCCTCTTACCGAGAGCAAAATACCCCTTACTACTGCACTGTCCCACGGGGCCGGATCACGGCCATGCAAGAGAGAGTGGGGAGCTTTATTGCAAACCACACAATGGGCCCCGACTTTTTAGTTTTCGTGCCGGATCCAGAAGACACAGTCGTCTGGCCGGCTGGTACTAGTTATGATAGCGCCTGCTTTGGCTGCTACGAGGCGGCCATCAGGGCTGGGCTGCGCTTCCCACTACATCCGGCTGCTCAGCGGATCTTGGATGGGTATGAGTTGGGGTTATGGCAGTTAGCCCCAAATTCCTGGGTCAACGTACTCGGCTATGTGGCCGGGTGCGAACTGCACGGGGTGGAGCCAAACTTCGAGGCTTTCGCCCACATGAATTACCTCAGCCGGACCCCTAGGTACCGGCTAGTATCAATTGACGAGCCACAGAGGCTACCTCATGACAAGAGGTAAAGCAAACAAGTGGAAGGATTGGCGAAGCACCTTCCTTATCATTGAAAGTTCAGACACAAAGCTGAACAAGCGCTTCAACAGGTGGAACAGGAATCCGCCTCTTCTTGCAGGCGGCCGCAGCATGCCGCATGTTCCCCCCAAGCCAAGAAAGAGATCCTGGATAAAGGACTCTTTAAAGTAGAGTCGAGGGTCGACTCTACTACAGGGGTACGAGAGCAAGTACCCCTGCACTGCGTCCCGAGCTTCAAATGGCTCTATGACGAGTACTTTCTGGCCGCCTGTGGCCTTAGCAGTCGCTGTTCAAGAGGTAGCCGGCCTGTCGAATACTCTTTTTTGCCATGAGTTACTGTTTATCTTTTTATTAACTTGGTATCTTGTCTTTGTAGCGGACGCCATGAGCAAGATCACCGCTTCCAAGACTGCGGCGGCCATGTTGCGAGCCTCTATTATGCAACAATCCTCAACCGACTCCCCCAACAAGGGGGCGCCCTTGGTGAGCTCCGAACCTTTCACTCTCTTTTTGGAGTTGGGTTTATGCATATACTGACCGAGTGTTTTTTTTTTTTTTTTTTTTTTTTTTTTTTTTTTTTTTTTTTTTTTCAGACGGGCACTCCAAGAACCTCTTCTTCCCAATAGCCGGACTCCAAGACCCGGAGGACGACTGTTGCGAGCTCTCCTGGTACTGCCAGGAAACATGCGGCAGCTGAGAAACAGCCGTCCACTCCTTCTAAAACTCCAATCAGGCCGCCTAGAAGTATGAAGTTGTCCTTGTGAATTTAGACTTGCTCCCTTCTTTACTAGGTCTAACCCGTTTGTTTATGCTTGATGCAGCCGGCCCTCAGGAGCCAGACTTGGTCGAGGTGGCCAAGTCTATGATCAAAGCCGTCCCTCCGGCTGAGAGGGAGGCGTTCAGGGGTGTCGGCACCCTTGACCTAGACGGGATTGCAGGGGTCCTTGCTGAGGTATACTTAGCATATTTTTGGTTATTTAAATTCCAGGACGCCTGTTTTTTGTTTGAAAACTAACGCCTGTTCCCTTTTACTTAGGCCTTGCTCCGAGTGAACGGCCTTCGCAAGCCGCTTGACAGGAAGAACAAAGAGGTAAAGGCTGCAAAAGCTATGGCCGCCTCTGGCTGTGATAAGGCAATGTTTCAAATTGCCCAAAATGAGATTTTGACAACTGATATTCATTATTATCAGGCGCAGGCTACTTCTGCTATCCAGGCTCAGTTGGAGGCGGCCCAGAAGAAAAATAATGAGCTGGAGGCGACCATCAACAATCTCAAGGCCGAGCTGAGACCTCTTCGCCAAAAAATGTCCTCATACGACACCTTGGAGAAATCCTTGGCACACGTTAAGGAACGCCTAGTGACCCAGGAGAAGAGTCTTACTCAGGAGCTCTCGGCAAAGGCCGAGCAAGAAAAGAAGGAGCTGGTCCGAGAGATGATGGAAGACTCTGCTCAGATCCAGCGCTTGACCTGGGGCCGCCTCTTCCCCAATGCCGACTTTTCCTCATGGGAAAAAACGTACCGCCAGTGTTCTGATAGATATAATCAAGAGATCCTGGCGGCTGCTGAGGACGAGGCGTTGGAGGAGGAGGAGCCGGTAGTGGCGCTTGTGTCGCTTGGGGTGGATGCATCGAAGAAGGATGCAGAAGAAGACGAGTCCAGCAAAAAGAGTGCTGACCAGGCGGCAGCTGCTATTATTGAAGATATGCCCCCTTCTTAAGCTTTATGTCTTCTTTTTACGGCCTGCGTGCCGTTTGTTTCTGTTTACCCGGCCAGGGGGTCGGGGTTTTGAATATTTTGCCGGTCTTAATGACCGGCTTCTTTTTGTATCTTTTACCCGGCCAAGGGGCCGGGGGTATGAATATTTATGCCGGTCCTTCTGGCCGGCTGTTAATATAACTCAGGCGACCATTATTTTAGGTCGCCTTTTTGCCAAAATGTTTCGAATTTGTTTCGTTTCGAATTTGTTTCGACTTTGCTAAGTATCGAAACTCTGACATCCAATTGCATACTATACCGACTGTTTTGCA